ACTGTGCTGGGCCCCCCAGCAGGCCTCGAAAGTGGCGACAGTTTCACAGATCGCAGCCCCCCAGGGATGGCGAGGTCTAATTTGGTCCGCCGTGGCGTCACTGTGCTGGGCCCCCCAGCAGGCCTCGAAAGTGGCGACAGTTTCACAGATCGCAGCCCCCCAGGGATGGCGAGGTCTAATTTGAATCTGCGTGTGGCGTCACTGTGCTGGGCCCCCCAGCAGGCCTCGAAAGTGGCGACAGTTTCACAGATCGCAGCCCCCCAGGGATGGCGAGGTCTAACTTGGGTCCGCCCGTGGCGTCACTGTGCTGGGCCCCCCAGCAAGCCTCGAACGTGGCGACAGTTTCACAGATCGCAGCCCCCCGCAAGCAAGACAGGAGGAGGCAAGAGGGAAACGGGACGGGAAGGAGGAAGTGGAAACCACACTGCTCTATTCAAAACGAATACCCAACCAAGGAGAGTTGGGAAAAATACGATCCCCCCCCGGAAGTTGCACGAAGTGTAATTCGGGAAGCGCCAGCCCGTCGGGTTTGGCAATGTTCGTGTAAGACGGCGGCCAGCTGGGGGAGGAGGAGGCGGAGGATGGGGGAGGCGGAGGGGGAGGAGGAGGAGGAGGAGGAGGAGGAGGAGGAGGAGGAGGAGGAAGAGGAGGCGGAGGAGAAGAGGGAGGAGGAGGAGGAGGAGGAGGAGGAGGAGGAGGAGGAGGAGGATGAGGAGGAGGAGGAGGAGGAGGAGGAGGAGGAGGAGGAGAGGGAGGAGGAGGAGGAGGAGGAGGAGGAGGAGGAGGAGAGGAGGAGGAGGAGGAGGATGGGGAAACGGAGGAGGAGGATCACGAGGAGGAGGAGGAGGAGGGAGAGGATGATGATGATGAGGAGGAGGAGAGAAAAATGGAGGAGGAGGAAAACCGAGGAGGAGGAGGAGGAGGAGGAGGAACGGAACGGAAGGACCCGCGAGGGAGTACGACGATGATGATGCTGATGATGCTGATGATGATGATGATGGTGATGATGATTGATGATGATGAGGAGGGAGGAGAGGAGGAGGAGGAGGAGGAGGAGGAGATGAGGATGAGGAGGACGAGGAAGAGGAGGAGGCCAAAAGGAATAAGAGGAGGAGGAGGCAAAAGGAGGAGGAGGAGGAGGGAGAGGGGCGGGAATACATGGAGGCGAAAGGGAAGGCGATGGCTCCGGGAGCTGACCGGCCAAAGGGGGGAAGGGGGGGGGGCTTCAAGCCCCCCCCCCCCTTTTGCACCAAGGGAGGGAGGGGGGGGGGCTTCCAAAGCCCCCCCCCTTCAAAGGGGAGGGGTGGCTCACCCCAGCTCCATTAAAAGGAGGGAGGGGGGGGGGGGTAGCTTGGAAGCCACCCCCCCTTTCCGGCCACGAAAAGAGATTGGAGGGGGGGGGTAGCTTCCGAAGCCCCCCCCCCCCTTTGAAAGGGGGGGGTGGCTCACCCCGGCCCAATTAAAGGGAGGGAGGGAGGGGGTAGCTTGGAAGCCCCCCCCCCTTTCCGAACCACGAAAAGGGGGGGAGGGGGGGGGAGCTTCCGTAGCCCCCCCCCCTTTAGCAAGGAAGGGGGGAGGGGGGTAGCTTCAAGCTGGGGCCCCCCTTTTAGTCTATCGGGCCCCACGCGCGCGCTCTATCGTATTATTTGACACGGATCGTGCCACCCCAGCACGCGCGCAAAGGCGTTCGAACGATTTCGACTTGCGCGCGCGAAGCCCGTTTGGTAGCATGGTATGGTGTTGAAAATCTGTGGTTCCCTGAAAAATTCGCAAGAGCGCGCGCGCACGCTTTGTTGAAAATCCGTGTTGCGAAAACTTGTTCTCTTATTCTTTATTTGAATAAAAAATGTGTTTTGGACACTCGCTCTAAAATCCTTCCGAAACCGAAGGGCATGCGCGCGCGACGACGTGCACGTGCGCACTTCGTCCCACTTCTTCCAATGGATTATCGAGAACTTGTGGTTTTTGGTAAACGAATGCGCGCGCATAGTTTTTTTTGTTCCGAGGGAACCGAGGGGGGGCGATTGGTAAGAATTCACAGGTAGGATGGACATTGGGTCAGACTCATATGTATTTTGCATCGGTTTCCGGGGAATCAGTAAGTCCGGGAGGGGGGAGGGCGGTAGAACCGATTTCTTTTTAGAAAAAAGAATCTATGAGTACATGCTACTTTTTGTGAGTTCGGGCCCGTCTTGCCCTCGCTCCTGCGGGAGGTCTCCAGCTGGTTTCGGCGACGTCCCCGTCGCCGTCGTCGTGGTCGTGGTCGTGGTCGTGGTCGTGGTCGTGGTCGTCGTACTCGTCGTCGTCGTCGTCGCATCTGTCGTCGTACTCGTGGTCGTACTCGTCGTCGTAGTCGTAGTGGTAGTCGTAGTCGTATTGGTCGTGGTCGTCGAAGTACTCGTACTTGTTGTTGTAGCAATATCCGTAGCAGTTGGAGCAGTGGCAATGTAAGTAGTAGTAGTAGTAGTAGTAGTAGTAGTAGTAGTAGCAGTAGTAGTAG